TGGCAGTGTAAAAAGACAAATATCGCCTGATGTTAACTCAAAGACACAATCGACATAACAGTGAATATCATTAGTCCATAATGGTGTTTGAAACGGAAGAACGAGTGAACGAAAAGTAGTGATTTGATTGTTGTAATTATTGGTACGGAAGAAGAAGTCGAGCTTGTACAAAAATCTTAGTTTCGTCTTGATAAGCTGTTTCCAAAATGAACAGTAAAAGATAGAGTCAAAAGATCTTGGTTTGTCACACTTCAGCATTAAATATTTAAGTTCGGGAGTTAGTTTGATAAGGAATTCTAGTTCCATTGCAGTAATTAACATATTTTTTAGACTGAGACATTTCAATAATGAATAAAACGTAGGATTCGAATATGACTTAAGCTGATCATCATCCATATTTATCGTAAATTAGTCTATTATAAGTGTTCGCAAATGTGGTAATTGATGAAGAATTATAAGATATTCTTTAGAAGTACAGATACCAAACTGCAAGTATTTCAGTTTTTCGATACTGGACCACACTATTTCATTTGCTACTTTATTGTGTCTGTACCAAATTAACTTTTGAAGTTGACATCCACGAAATCGTGAGAACATTAAGAGCGATTCTTGTTTATTGAGCGTATCCCGTGGTCCTATCGAAACTGAGGCCAGACTTTTGACATTGATCGATGTGAGAAGCTTTATAAATTCTAGTTCAGTTAAATCATCTAGGTTTAATGATCGAAGTCGAGTAAACTGATTTACATCGGCACGCGACATAAATTTCAAAACCAGACTTTCGGAATAGTTATTTCTCTCGAAGGATAAGAAAACAATACATTTAGGTTGGATGATAGGAAAAAGAAATCTATTTTCAGAGGGCGACGAGCTAATCTGTGTAAGTTAAAATCGATCATAAGTCTCTGCCACAGCGTAAGAATACTTGCACATACGGCGAAATGCTTTAAATAATAGTTTTGATATCACAATAATCAAGAATACGATGAATTAATTCGATAGATAATGATAGTAACTCTTGATTTGTCATCCTCAAATCTGGATGAAATATTAAAAACAAGTAGTTTTTTGCGCTTACTTCATCCTAAAACATGGCAATAACAAGTAAAAGTGTGATTATACTTTTGTTAGTCTTTTCCTATTCACTTATTGAAATCAGTAATCTATGAATGCTTATATCATGATTATTTTTCTTTTGTCTGACGAATATATTCGTTTTTCACTTTAGGTGACGACTCAATTGTTCTTTTGCTCAAAACGACGAAATCTGAGAGAGTATCACCGCGATATATAATTTCTTGTGTATCAAACTATGGGTTCAAAGAAATGCAAGAATTCAAGTCAGATTTCAATGACGTCGGGAATTCAGGTGTCAGTATGATATATAGACAGAGAAAAGCGACGTCTTTCTCAATTAAATACATTGTGAATTAAAGTCGATTATGGTTGTGGAAGTATAAAGCTAAAAGAATACACACTTTCTGTCTTTCAAGCATAGAACTTATCGTACGGCATAAATAGCTATTAAAAAAAAACGATTAAATCATAGATTCAAGATTTGTAATAAATTGCTTGTCGACATGTCTATTCTAATCAAAAGAATTTTTCAGAATTCTGATATCTGGCCTCGATTACACTCATGATAGATGGGGCAATATATTTTTATCATGAATAAAGAAGTTCCAAAGATATCTTTATTTTGTGTCAATTGTACTGAAAGCTCTTCATAAAGAAACGAAGAAATTCGCGATTTGAGAATAAAATGAGCAAGCATTAATATAATTTAAATAGTTTTCATTTTGAAGCTCGTGCCGATGAATTGTGGCTCAATGCTCGAATGAAAGAAAAAAATGCCTGTTTGCGAATGAAACCCCATGTAAAAAATTAGACGCATAATCAGATTAAAATCGATTAAAAATCGATAAAAGATATATGATTTTAATTGATTTTGATCTGATCATTCGGCTAATATTTTTTTAAATGGGATGGGTATTGGATTATACGCAGATAATCGACAAACATAATTTTCTAGAACCTGGTAGCCTATAGTATTCATACAGTTACTTCGTACAGTGACTGATCTCAGTTTGTTCATTTTCATGCATATTAATTTTCATACAAAATGAAACTATCGAAAAGTTAAAATTGGCAATACTTTTAAGATTTATGAGGCCTGAATTTTTTTCAAATGAGTATTAGTTAAAAATAAATTTTTAAAAAGTAGCAGCAAGAAAGCAATTATCATATAGTAAGCAACTACAGACACCGATAGGAGAAACAGTTTTTGATGGGAAACTTTCCTTAGAATACAAGTCTATAAACTAAGCCGGATGATATGAACACAAAAGAACAATTTTACGTACTTATAACTCGATTCTATTACATTACTTGCTGAGTATAGCATCTATCTCAAATATCTGTAAAGTGTTTTTTGCAACTAAATCTAGGTCAACTAGGCTATATATTGATTGATAATACTCAGATAAAATATCATAGACTTCTCGACTAAACTTATATTATTAAATTGCTTTTAAAAAAGATTTCTTTAACATCGAATAAGGAAAGACATATTAATGCAAAAACATCATACGTAAATGAGGTGATTTATGATGATAAAGACGATTTTAGTGATTTAACTAGTTTAGAAAGACAGATCGTTATATAATATAGTTCATTTGTACTGAGCTGTTTTCTACTACGTCATGTTTGTTCTGATTCATCTTGATTATCAGATTTCTCACCGATTTTTCACTGTTATAGGGTACTTGCATAATATAATAAACAGGGTAGTATTCACAACTTTTCGCTTAAGTAACTCGCTGTAAATCTAAAACAAAGATCGAATAATCATGATGAGAATAGCTTATTTTATAAGTCAAACTCGCTTTAATAATACTATAAACAATTGTTCGCTATTGTATTTTTACCCTTAAATTTTTACTTTATCTGATTTTTCGGATGTATGCTTAGAATTTGCCGTCAACATTTGTAGGCACAATTATTGATTTTAACAAATTCAATTTTTGTAAATCAATCTCAATGAATTGGTAAAATTTGCTTGAAAATTTGAAAACTAAATTGAGGAATATACAACACCAAGAATTGGAGGAATAAGATTAGGTAGTGTTCTTTAAAGTTTTGTCTGTATGAGTCGTTCTTCGGTAGTTCGATAATTCTCAGTCATCTGTGCCACCTTTTAAGAATATAAGGTTGCCTGAATCGTGTGATATAGAAGTTTTCCGCATGTTGCCATCTAAAGTCAATTCAAGTGTGAATATTTGGAAATCTATAATCTGCTTTCTTAAGTTGTAACAAGATGACATTCTTGTTGAATGATTCATTCACACAACATCGATCTACAATGTAGATTATCTTATTGCTATGTTTTCTGATAGCTCGCTATCAAGACATGAAAGTAATTCTATACAGGAATAGTTTTCTATGTCTAATTATGAATTTCTAAGAATTGAAAATGAAGAAAATGGAAGCATGATTAATCATTGTTTCCAACAAAAGTGACATTCGTAGGAATACTAATATAATTTTTTTGGTTCGAAAAAACCTTCACAATACTTGCTTCGTATTTATGTTGAACTGTTAATCAAAAGTAGTAAAAGTCTAAAGTATCCAATGAATTGATCAACTTATGGTTTCATTTGAAATTGTAAAATGAATAGTTCTCCCCCGGTATTTAAATAGTTGCCACGCGAATGCAAAATAATTCTTTTTTGACAAGGGTCACACACATTTCTTTAAAAAAATCAGTACTTCTATACATTACTGTTTCTTTTTCTTCTCGAAACTCAAAGTGAACTGTTTACATTTACCTTTCGACGCAATAGCAACATTCTGCTTGTTGTTAAGTCAATCCACATGCATTACTTTCACAGTTCCGCGGGGACTGTACCGTGTCTCCATACATAGTCAAGTAGAAAAGCGACTGACAACATCGATTGTTATTTCGCCATTCGAATAAGTTGTGCGCATACCATGTCCACAATTTCGATATCTTTCCGTACTCATGAAAAGTACACCGTAAATAATCTCTTAAAGGTATGACTAGGAAACATTCTTTCACTTACATCGTATTCGATGTGATGGCAATCATTTAAAGCATGTTTCGTTCATCAACAGTGAAAAAAATCAGTAACTACTTTCTATTAATTTTGAAATCTATGCTAATAAAAGGAAATAAAGTAGCAAGAGTGTGTGGAAGAAAAGGGTGTGGGTGTGGGTGTGGGTGTGGGTGTGGGTGTGGGTGTGGGTGTGGGTGTGGGTGTGGGTGTGGGTGTGGGTGTGGGTGTGGGTGTGGATGAACAAAAGAGACACCAATAGCCACACCCACCCACACCCTTGAATCTTGTCAAAAGCAGAAGATAAAAGTCTTCGCGAGTTTCAGACTTGCAAGCGTCACATAATATAGAATTTGACCGAAGATCACATATCTCACAAGTTGTTCTAGAAACTTGTTCTGATACTGCCATCATTTTTGTTAACATTGCTGTTGTGATCATCATTCGGAAAAAAAAGAATATGCTCTGTTCCTTTCACTCTTTTTTTTCTTCCTCTCTATGAACGTGCCTGATAAATGTTTTTTGTTAGGAATATAAAATAGTTGCGCATTAATTTTTTTCATTCTTATTCAGTAGTGTTACGTTCTTATCATCATAACTGCGATCGCAAAACGAGTAGTGATAGAAACATCACTCTATTACGATGCAAACGTTATAAATGATGTTGCCATTCATCCAAACGATAATATGTTTTCACAAGCAAACCGAGTGGAAATTTTGAATAAATATGATATCTTCGAATTCGAAGTTATTTTAAAATCAACTGTTACAGTAGGCGCAATGGCACTGAATCGTTTTCAACGTAAGAAGTATCATTTGAAGAAGTATCACAGTTATTTTGTGCGCTGTTATTCATCAGAAAAACCTTTGCACACCCTATTCGATATAATTAACGAACGATTCGATTTTAAGATCAGAATCGGTGGCATGGAGAGTGTATTAGCAGAAATATTTGGCGACGTCTTGCTTTCACGTCTTTATCCACAAAGTTTCGTCGCCAAAAGTGGTATAAATAAAACACGAGCTATTCTTTTAAATGAATTGCCTGGCACTGGAAAAAGTTTGATCGCTCGAACTGGGTGTGATATATTAAACGTAACTCCGAAAGTAATACGTGGTTCAGAAATCTTTTCATTTATGTTGGGTCAATCAGAACAAAATATTCGAGATTTGTTTGAAGATGCTCGTCAAGATCAACGTAACCTTGGTTCCAACAGTAAATTACACGTGATTGTATTCGACGAAATCGATGCTGTCTGCAAAAATCGAACACAGAGTAATTCAGTACGTGATACTGTGCATAATAATGTTACTGCTTAGCTCTTGGCCGAGATCGATGAAATGATTTATCTTGATAATATTCTTTTAATTGGCACAACAAATTTTCTGGAAGTAATCGATCCAGCACTTCTTCGTCCGGGACGTATTGAGAAAGTTATTAAAATTGAATTACCCAATGCAGTCGCTCGCTCTGCTATTTTCGATATCTATACAAAAGCACTTATCCGTAATGGAGCCCTTAATCAAGATGTCGATATTAACCACATCATTAACCGTACCGAAGGAATGACCGGTGCACATGTGGAACGAATTGTTCGATTGGTAGTTCATGCTGCTATGCGACGAGATATTCTCGAGCGAGATAAACTCGATATTACTGAAGAACAGGGAGAAGCACTGGAAGTTTGTAATCGAGATTTCATCGAAGCTTTATCTAAAATCAGCATATGATTTTTAAAGAAATAAAAAATAAAATAAAATAAGATTTACCACTATAAACCGATATTTTCGCATAACCATAAATAACAGAATCGATTTAAAACATTGTACTTTTCTCACTTACATCTATTGAAAAAGTTTTCGAATTTCAAAACAATGATCACATATCTTTTAAAGAAAATTGTTTTCAGAATTAGTTTTAGTTGATATTAATGATTGTTCATAAATATCAATGATTAATACAATAGATGGATATGAGATACTGTTATTGTATCAATTTGATCATGTTGAATATTTTGGAGTGTATCACTCATTTTTAGCTATCGTTGAGGGAGAACTACGTATCACAGTACTTTGAATTCTATGTGGCTGTACATTAAGAAATATCTGAATATTTTATCAATGTTGTGAAATATAAATTGACTACTAGTCAAATGTTAATAGAATTTTTATCGAATTTTATTATCTATTTTAATGTGTTTTTCATCATTTTTAGGTGTTTTTAGAATTAAATACATAAGAAGGTATTTCGAATTATATATCAAAGATTGAATTATAGTTCTCCCGTGTTGTTAGAAAATCAAATTCGGGTCTATCAAATTGTTTATATAACCCAAACTCAATGTTATTAAATGCTTTTATATATTTTTTCTCTTGTTCTCATGCATTTTTGCTTATTTTAAGAATTTTCTTCATATTAAGAGATACTTCCAGAGAAAATTTTGTCAAGAAAAGTAAGTCGGGGATAGTACTTATTCGTGTCAGAATGTAGATTATAGAGTTCTGTGGGTGTTAGTGTGTACCATAAAAGATATTCTGAGTGTTAGTAGGTATCTATAAGCATATCTGGGTCGGTTTTACATGTATCCAGAAAACATTTTATCAAGAATAGTTTTTCGGGGATAGGACTTATTCATGTCAGCATGTAGGTTATGGAGTTCTGTGGGTGATAGTGAAAACAACTTGGGGTGTTTGTGTGGACCATAGGAGAGATTCTGGGTGTTAGTGTTGAAAAGGGTCATTTTTTGGGCTTTGTTGACGACTTATGTTTTCTAGGAGTCGGACAAAATGGGTGTTAGTGGGTATTTGTGAACATAACTCTCGAAGATGTGGGTGTTAGTGAAGACGACCTATATGTGTTTTTACAAAGTTGGGTGTTTGTGATGTTAGCATAAATTACTAATACCCCAAAATATTGGATTATAAAGACGAAAACCTTTGACGAAGTTCGACTCTCTATCTGAAAAAATATGGATCATGGTTAAACCATTGATGCCGAATTGGTATAAATGTGTTTGAAGATCGTACACTGAAAGAAAAAGGTTCCGAGATTTGCAACGAAACCGAAACCTTTTTTGAGTTTCGTAAAAATATTGTTCCGTACCAAACCGTCTTCAATTCACATTCAAAATGGTTTCGTAGTTGAAATTTCGTAACGGCTCCAATGCACTCGATCTGCGCTCTCACAATTGGGACTGATAAACCTATCCGTTTCGCTATTCATTTATTCTATTTCATGCAGCGCCTTATGTGTAGTCTCTGACAGATTCATACAATCGATATTGATCTTATTTACTTATCTGTTTAATACACTTCTATCCCCTAACTTATTCCCTTAACCTTAGTCTGCCCATTATTTATATCTATCTTCTAATTGACCATTTGGATCAAATTAATAAGAACCTAAAACAAAAGACAATGAATAAATAAGTTTGTTATGATCGAATTGTAACCTACCATTTGGATCATACCGAATTGTATTCGAAATCGAGAAAAATCCAAGAATGTAAAGATGACAACGTTATTTGAATCGAATTAAAATGGTTTCAGATTAGGAAAGCAAAATGGTTCATAGAAGGGAATATTATTGATAAAATCGGTTATACTTTAATATTGTGAGCAGTTTCCGTTCAATAAATAAATCTAAAGTTGAGCAATGGCGAAGATGAAAAAAATAAAAATTGGTGTACTGAAATATTCTTTTTAAAGGTTTGAGGACTGTGATCTTTTCATTCTCCAGAAAATTTTGAATACATTGAAAGCTTTAGAAACCTTTTGTTATATCAGATAAAAGTTCAAGGTCGGTTTTCGGCTCGTTATCATATGCTTGGAGATTGAGTATACTCGGAAACTCTTTGATTTGCCTGGGCAACATTTCAGAAGCCGAAAGAATATTCCCGCATACCTCATATAAGACTTGGACTTAATTTTTTGACGATATACGTTGACAAATTATCATGACGTCTCTGAAAACACGATTAGGTTTCCAATATCAAGAAAAAAGGGATTCCAAAATACTTTAAGAATGTTGAAATCGGTTTTTTAGGGAACCTAATTGTTTCCGAACCCTCGACATGCAGTAAGGTATTTGCAGGAGCGTTGACAGCGTCCGGAAATCATCTCTCAAATCTCCAAAGGTTTCCGAATGGATTTCAGAGCACTTTTGGATTTTCTAGGAAACGGATTGTTCTTACATAGCAGTTAATGGACCCCCTTAATATAAATCTAACCTCCTAACGGATCCCATAAACTTTAATCTGACCCCATAACTAATCCCCTTATGGATATCTATATCCCTAACTTATCACCTGAGTCCTAATCGAACCCCCAAAAATATCCTCATATCTTTGTTTAACCCCTTCAGTTAAGCGAATGTACTTGGACTTATCAACACAGAACGTATGGGATTAGAAATTGCAATACCAAAATCCTTTTTGATAATCCTTAGTACTTCGACCATTTCGATTTGTTTTGACTACTGCATATTGGAAATATTTTACTCGATGCAGAATATGATTAGCAATGGACCAATTAGTGATTGATTTTCACTTCACTCGATCAGAAACAAAGTTCGGGGCATGTATTGAAATGAAGTTCGAAGAGTATTTTACGAAACCTTTTCGATTTTCGATGCCCGAAAAGGTTTATCACGAAACTTTTTTGAATACTAAACCTTGAACAGGTTTTTCACGAAACTCTACCTGATAGTAAACTCTTTTGAGATTTCGTCTGTGCGAACGAAATCTTTTCAAGTATAGTCAAGTACCACGGAACCTTTTAGGTTCCGTATGAAACCTTTTTTTTCAGTGTAGAACGATAAATACACGACTAAATGATGGTAAATTAATACAATACTTAATGTATTGTTCAATATCATCGAATGCTACCATATAATCAACAAGACGACAAAAACGTACTCCACGATTCGAAAACTTAGATGATTGAGCCAAATAGTGTACGTTTGGCCGGTACAATACTACTGCTAGATGAATCAACTTCTTCATTAATTGACTGATTTTGTTTGAATGATAGAGAATGTTGCAACAAAATGACCTTTCTTTCATTTGGTTTTTATTAAACAAATGCTAACTAGGTCGTTGATTCCGGCCGTATCTCCTGATTTTTCTACCGTGTTCCCTGCAGGATCAGGCTGAAGAATACACGAAACTCGGAAGCAGTATTCCGGGTCGAAAATTCACCGTACGCGAAATACTTTTCTCCACGATAACTTCGACACGGAAAATCTACAGAAAATTGCCGAAATTCTGCCGGAAAGCGAAAGAAACTGTGGAAATCTCAACGCAAAAATACAAAGATCCGACCGGAATCACCCCGGAAATCAACGTGTCTGACTGAAGCTCAACGAATCTAATCTTTCATTCTGACAGGATATGCCCATACTTCAAGATTTTCTGGTCGTACAGTCCCACCCTCGAAGATATAACCATTCGACTAGGAAGTAGCCAGTCCAAAAGTGAATTTATCGGATATCCAGTACTGTTTTGCACACAGTCAAAGTGAGATTGATGAATTTCTACATATGAGCATGAGCAGTTCTTCATAATTTGCATAGGAGAGGGAGCTTGTGGTTGTTTATCACGATTGACCAAAGCTTTTTGGGGAGTCAGACAATCCAAATCTGAAAACAGTTTCTCGAATTTTTCAGTTAAATTTCATTTCAAAAATGTTTTTATCACAAAAATAATGTGTTTAAATAAGTCATTTATTAGTTAAAAAATTATTTTTTTTTTATCAAAAAATGTTCTTTTAATAAAAATTATGAATTTTTTTTACACAAAAAGTCCTTTTAGGAAGTACTACTTTTTTAGCAAAAAAATTATTTTTTGGTAAGAAAATGGTTTTTCGGAAAAAGTTCAACTAAAAATTTCAAAACACTGATTAAAGATTCGAATTCTTCTACCTCGAAAGCCTTGATATTCCAGCAAGGAGAATCACGCACAATCACTGTAAGCGTGAACTGTACACCTCTAGACTACATCCACACCCTGTGGTTGATTAATGTAAAGATGCTGATGGAACAATTACACACAGAAACAAAATTTGCGAAAATCAATCTCAGCTTCAAATAATTTATGCTATTTCTTGCCGTCTTCAATATCCTTTTCCCTATTATACAGTGCATGTTCATTGCAATTTCTGTGCTATTGTTTTAGAAAAAAAATGATTGTATATAGTGTCTTATAGTAGGAAAAGTCGTCAATATCAGTGAGAAAACTGCGATTTAGCAACAGTATCGGAGACAAATCGACGATTAGTCGCCAATCTCGAGAAGATGCATAATGCATCCAGATTCAAAAAATACATCAATTCATTTCATTTGAGGACCCTAAACAGTATAAGAAAACTTCGACTTTCTGCTTTAATATCTGAGAAAGCACTTGAGTAATGAAAAATAAGTGTTTTGAAAAAGTCATGCCAGTGTGAAGAAAAAAAGAAAATGCTTGTATAAAGGAAATCATGAAACAGTATTTGATAGATAGAAGCCGTCATTATGGAGTAGAGATGAAATTTGTATGAAAACCTAGCTCCTTGCGCATTGATGGAACTTGTCTAATAGAACTTTGATTGTATCCTATCGAAAGCAAGTTTTGTTTGTAACCGTATTGTTATTTCAATTAGACAAAGAAAGATTAAATGGGAAGAGAAACAGACAGAGGTAAAAATGCGTCTTGCTTCTTTTGGTAAGATTATTGGAACGGTATTGAGAATGA